CAAATAATTTATTCGGATCACCTATTCGCTATTGGTCAAATTACTGAATTGAGCGAATGTGAGTGTTGTGAACCGGATGAGCCAGATAAATCTGCCACCTGCCTGAGACGACTTAAAACGACTTGGGCCGACGATGCCGCCTGCTGCGACCTTGCGCCAAGCACACGTAACCTCTGGGCAGTCCTCCATGCCCGCCCTTCACTGCTGCTGGAACGTGGAAATCCTCATGAGAATACCCTAATTCACTCGCACAAGGCGCGGGAGATTTTTTTTCCCAAAATCGGTCTGCCCAAACACGCCAAAGTACTGCGACTAAGGGTCCTATACCGCGCTGAGTATTACCTAGAGTATGTACGACATAAGGATTACTTCCGAAACACACTTAAGCAGCTGAGCGGTTTACTAAAAAATCGGAGAAGCGCCCGTACTCATGAAATTAGGGTACTTTTGCGAAGACGGCCGCATTAAGAGCTGCCGCCAGAGCTGTAACAATGTTATGGAAACGTTTGTAGGTGCTGCATCTACAAGCAAGAATGTAAATGTGTAATGGGGGTCTAGTGGTATGTCGCGGCAGAACCTGGTCGATGCGGAACACGGTTCCAGTGCAAGATAATTCATCCAAGTGGCACAAACTGACAGATACAGGAACTATGACAACGGCTATGGCTACGTACAACAGCGGGCTCCTACCCAATTCGGCCCTCTCAGCAGGGTTTCTCTAGCTTCACTAATTGAACAGGAAAATTCGCCTCTCTGCGACGGCTCATTCAAACTCACAAAGATGTTTCTTCGCGCTCTGGCTGGTCTCTCCTATCTACCAGCATTTATAACCTGCTGAGAGGTTAAATGAAAACTCTCTTTTCCCGCCACTAAAGATTAGTGGGTCAGTGATCCGCACCATACAACAAATGAGCATTGGAGGATTTAATCTCCAGTAGCTTGTTTGACCTGATATTCTGATAGAGTAATTTACGTAGTGATTGAGTTGCTTGTAGCTTGTGCACAATTCCGCCACAAATTAACGTATTAATCAGCTTGCTTAGGACTTTTGCACAAATCACATACTATCCGTGTAAGTAGATTTAAGATATGTAAGCTGCCTTACCAGGAAAATCAAAGAGGAAATTGAGGAAAAGCCTGCACGGCAGCCTCGAGCAGCTAACCTGACAACTTGTTTCAACATTTCGGTTTTTGCCTAAGCAAAGCATAGAGAGGCTTCCCTCTCTGCTTGGAACTTTTGCAGCCTCTCTCCTTAGGCAGATACTGCGGAAATGTGTCGCGTTTTCCGTATGGAAAACATAACGGTCGCGCGAGTCGGCTTGAACTCGCTCTCAGATTATTTTAAGGGAATAGAAAAGCAAAAATGAGCGAGATGGATAGTACCAAGTAATATGCCTCCCTTTGGCAGTAGTACTTTGCAAATGACACTGATGGCAAAAAGTGTAGAACATGTTAAGATTTCATATCGTCATGTTATGAATTTTCATCTCGCTCTCATAAGAGTCTCATTCTCCACTTACGGTTTCCCATGGCATGTGTCGCCATTCATTCGCACGTTTTAATAATTTTGCTTGTAAGCCACTCAGTTGCGATGTTAATGTATCTATATGAGCAACTCCTAAAGGGCCGGGCATACTTCACGCGATTTCAGTCGCGACGCGATTTGGCAATATTCCAATTGTCCATAACTCACTGTAAGCACATTTTATATGTACAGAAGATAGAGCATTTTATGAATCGCGTAAGTTATACGCACTATGCATGTGCAGTTTGCTAATGTTGGATCTGAAGACTTCTGGCAAATTGCCAAATCGCTTCGCGACTGAAATCGCGTGAAGTACAATACCGCTCATAATTCGTCAAAAAAGTCGCCGGACTGCGGCGCACTCCGCCTCGCCACAGTGCACCGGAGTGTGGCAGAGTGCGCCGGAGTGCGGCAGAGTGCGCCACACTCCGCCGCAGTGCGCTGGAATGATCGTCAATTTAGCCATATCTCGCTTCAGAATGGACGAATTCTGAATCCGAGGACACCGTTCGATTCAGCTCGACGAGACGCATCATCTTATATTGAAGCTGAACGTCTGTTTGTCTGTTTGTCTGTACGTACGTTCCGAATAGAAAAATCCATTTCTGAACCGATCCGCACCAAACTTGGCACACATACACTTCGGGCACCGGCGGGTGTCATAGGCTACTTTTCGTCATCGATCAATATCGATTTTATCGATTTTTATCGATTTCTTTTTGCAAAGTTTGAGCTACGGGGCTGGGAGTTTGCACAGGGGGATAATCGAGCATGGGGATTCCGAATACACTATTAGTTTAGAGGATTATCGATTATTATTTTGATTGAATTCAGTGTGCTGATAACAGTGTTACCATTGATCTGTCGCTGATGACACATAGACAGTATACTATAAGAGTATGGTAGAGAGCCACTCTGATCGAATTTGTTCTAAAATCTGCTCAAGGTCACAATACCGCTCACAGAATGTCAAAATTTCCGTGAACTTCGCGGAATTCCGGGATTTCCGCCAGAGTGCGCGATAATCCGGGAGGTTCGCGACATTTCAGGATCCGCGAAACCATGCGAATCACGCAGAATACGCAACGCCATAACTTCCTTCGGAATGAATAAATTCCGAATCCAGAAGCAGCATTGTGTTCAGATCGTCGAGGCAAATATTTGATATACAGTATGCTCTCGATATTCCATTTCCAGTTTTTTCGAATTTTTTCTGTGGAGGTCTTTTCGCAAGGATGTAACGCAGCGTCTGTGTAACATAAAAGATTCCAGTAAGCAAGCACCATATTCAATACAATGGAGTTATTGAGCGAAGCGAACATAATATCCGCAATGCGAGTGTCATACAAGCACTCACGGTGGTATTTCGACGAAATTTGCGATTTTTACATTTTGAGCAAATTTATGAGAACGTGTTTTCGTAGGCTCGTAACTCGGCGAATTTTATAGACTGAAGCCTGAGTCTTGCGCCATTCGATAGCACATCTCCTAGTAACTTTGACTAGTGAAGCAAGCAGGCAGGTTCTTTGACAGACACGTGAGAGGTGGAGGCGAAGTTACGAGCTTTCGTGATGCAGTTACAGTCACCTCACCGTATCTCTCCAAGAAGACCCTGTAATCCTAAAAGACCACGATTTTCGTAAAGAGCTTGTTCGAAAACCTCTATAAGCGAAGTTTCCTTACAATTTAAGAGCATGAACATTTTGACCAAAATCCATCGGGCAGCTTCAGAGCGTAAAACGAGAAAAAATGAAATTACTCGAACATCTTGGAAAACTTGCTTATAAGGGTTATCCGACCTGCTGATTACGAAAATCACATCTATTTAGCAAGAGAGCTTCATATTTTAGAGTTACGTTGAGAAAAATTTGGAACGACATGATTTTTCCAGAATTCACCAGCCCTTCTAACTCCTATGGAAAGATTCCTGTGACTACTTTTTAGCGCTACGTAATCTACAGAAAAAGTACTGTCGAAAGGTCCTCGCTGGAGTCTATTAGGAGCAATGCGCGCTGCTTTACACCTTCACAAAAAGACGTTTACAGAAAGATTTGAGAATATTGAAATTGGAATATCAAGGATATGCTGTACATCGAAAGATTTGCCTTGATGAACTGAGCACAAAGCTTTCTTCGGATTCAGAATATGTTCATTCCGAAGGAAGTTACGGCGAATAGAATTTAGAAACGCGTGATTTTTCCAAAATTCACCAACGCTTCTGTCTCTTTTGGGAGATAGTCTGCAGCTACTCTTGAACCCACGATAACCTACAAGGACACTACTATCGAACAGTGCTTACTGGAATCTTTTATGTTACACAGACGCTGCGTTGCATCCTTGCGAAAAGACCTCCACAGAAAAAATTCGAAAAAACTGGAAATGGAATATCGAGAACATACTGTATATCAAATATTTGCCTCGACGATCTGAACACAATGCTGCTTCTGGATTCGGAATTTATTCATTCCGAAGGATGTTATGGCGTTGCGTACTCTGCGTGATTCGCATGGTTTCGCGGATCCTGAAATGTCGCGAACTTCCCGGATTATCGCGCACTTTGGTGGAAATCCCAGAATTCCGCGAAGTTCACGGAAATTTTGACATTCTGTCGCGGTATTGTGATCTTAAGCAGATCTTAAAACAAACTCGATCAGAGTGGCTCTCTACCATACTCCTATAGTATACTGTCTATGTGTCATCAGCGACAGATCAATGGTAATACTGTTATCAGCACACTGAATTCAACCAAAATAATAATCGATAATCCTTTAAACTAATAGTGTATTCGGAATCCCCATGCTCGATTATCCCCCTGTGCAAACTCCCAGCCCCGTAGCTCAAACTTTGCAAAAAAATCGATAAAAATCGATAAAATCGATATTTATCGATGACGAAAAGTAGCCTATGACACCCGCCGGTGCCCGAAGTGTATGTGTGCCAAGTTTGGTGCGGATCGGTTCAGAAATGGATTTTTCTATTCGGAACGTACGTACAGACAAACAGACAAACAGACGTTCAGCTTCAATATAAGATGATGCGTCTCGTCGAGCTGAATCGAACGGTGTCCTCGGATTCAGAATTCGTCCATTCTGAAGCGAGATATGGCTAAATTGACGATCATTCCGGCGCACTGCGGCGGAGTGTGGCGCACTCTGCCGCACTCCGGCGCACTCTGCCACACTCCGGCGCACTGTGGCGGAGTGTGGCGGAATGCGCCGCAGTCCGGCGACTTTTTTGACGAATTATGAGCGGTATTGTATGCCCGGCCCTTAAGGTATAGCTGGCGGAGCATTGCGAACATACGAAAACGTTTGACGACTTGTTTAACCTTCTTTAAAGTCCTATTTTTCTTTTTTGAAGTACTATTTTTGCCAACCTATACGTTATCAAACGTTTGCCATACCCGTCCGCTGTACTCCCGGGATTTGTCGACACTTTGTATTGCATTTTCAGACCACATATATTTATATGACGCTGTTTATCTTCCTATCAGGAAAGCATGTATTAAGCTTTATGAGCTTAAATATTCTCAACTCCAGTGTGACAGATATTTTCTTTGAATTTCAAGGACTGAAGGTAGGTTCGATTGTAGCCGCAATGCGTACATTCAACGTGAAGCCGCGATGTGCATAGCGTCAATCGTTTTTTAGCTAAGTATTTCTCTATTGTTGCATAGTGCTGTTATAATTTTTGTCTTCATCGTGCTTTTGATTATCAATGTTGATAGACTAGATTCTATGCCCAAAGGCGTGGTAAGCGTTCTAACAAAATAGACGGAAAATTATTGTAAATTTCAGCCAATCGTGATTTTACTGTACTCTTCCCTATTCAATCTAGTTGGATGTATCTTGCTCTTCACACACAAGTCGACCGCCAAATGGGAGATGTCTACGGCAATTACTGGTTGTGGGGTAAAAGCAGATACTATAGCAAGAAAGACAAACATTGAAATTCGCTTGCAGTCTTTATCCGCGATTACCACAATATCGACGTTCTTGCTCGCCATATTTTATAACAATACATTGAAGATATCAAAGAAAAGGAAAGTAAAATCTGACGAATATGTTGCGCCCATAGCTACTGCACTTCCTCCCAAGCCTTCAGTTCCCAAACATTCAGCGGATAAACCATCTGGAGAACCGGTAGCCAACATTGACCCACAGTTACCTAGAGCTGCAGCCACGCAGGAAGAAGAATTTGAGCCAGGAGCATCCCCAGTTCCAGAGTGCGTCTTGCTTTCTCTCTCCTTAACGCTGTTTAGTTTCCTTTTATTTTACTAACTACATTAACTTACGTTATTATAGTTTGCCTCCTGCAGTACCACCACCACCACCACCGCCACCACCACCTGAAATACCTCCTGCGATGTCACCTGAAATTCCACCTGATGTGCTGCCTGAAATGCCTCCTGAAATGCCACCTGCTGATTTTGGACCTGTGCCGGCGATAAAAACACCGGCAAAAACACAGGAAGAAGTTGATCTGACAGCAGCACTTCCAAAAGAGTACGGAATTCATTTCTGAATTTTGCTCCTAACCGCTGACAAAAGCGCTCTTATGCATCAGTGTTGAGGACTTCAAAAACGACGGCTTGCGATGACCTTTACTTCTAGTACGTATGTCTACGCTAGCAGGATTTTAAAGTGAATCATTTGCGGTTTTATGTGGTCCCTGGAAGGTGGGAATGGAACTGCTCTAAAAGCTGCATTTTTGTGCTGCAAGGTGACGAGTTGTATCCAAAAGATTCTTTCGGATTGTAATAGCAGCAGTGATTGCAAGATTGCAGCGCAGCCATCATTGCGTTGGCTGCGAAGTGATCAATTCAATCACTCGCAATGGTAACGTCATTTCAATTCAGTCTGTCCCAATCAAGATCAGGCCAAAACACTGCTTGAAAGTGCGCGCTAACAGCGCCATGGGTTTGAGCAGCACGTGCGTGGAAAGCATTGTTGGAAATATTTGGAAAGATGAGAGCAGAACGGGCAGACCTTGTTACGACCACCTACAGCTAGTCTTAGACGTGGCTCAAAACCAGGCGAAGCAAAGCAAACAATCATGTACGATTGCCCTATTCCAACTGGGACAGACCACCTTAAAGGCAGCGTCTCGGTAGAATGACAAATTTGGGATATTCATCGTTCTCGGCTTCTCTTAATGAGATAAGTCTAACACTGTGCTTTGCAGCTTCAAAAGGTATCAATAACCCGCTTTTCCAAACGTAAAAATTGCTATTTGGGCGGACGGAAAAGCCTGTCCTCTGAAGCGCGATTGGCTCATGAGTGAAGACACCGCACCCATCTCGGCTGCAATTAGATTATTGGCTCCAGCAGCCACTTTCGCGACCCACCCGAACAGCACTTTTCACGTCCGAAAAAGCGGCTACTGATATTCCTTGAAGCTGCAAAGCACAGTCTTGGACTTAACTCATCCAGGGAAACCGAGAACGATGAATATCCTAAAGTTGTAGTTCTGCCGAGCCGCTGCCTTTAAGCTGCCCCTGCATACGCTGCAGCTGTTGCCGCCCCTGCGATTTGAGCTTCTGTCAAATCTCTTGTATTCACCTTCCTCAACGGCACTTCATAATTACTGACTAAGTCTGAGAGGTAGGATGCCTCTTTTCCTCGTTTCCTATGTACACGAGCTTGAAGAATTCAGCCTAACCAGGAACTTCTAGAGGATTTGATAAAAGTATCGGTGAGTTTTGGGTGTCGGGAATTTCGCTAAGCAGGAACAATACAATCCATGGATCTATTGCTTGTGAAAATACTGCAACATAATACAAATGCTAGCAAATAATAGATTCAATTCAACTTAGAGTTTTCAATCACAACTTATCAGTGGCGTACCGAGGGGGGGGGGGGCGGGGGGGGGGGAGCGCGCGCCCCCCCCCCCCCGAGAATGGGTCGCGAAATTTTTGAAAGTTACTTATATGGGTTATAAAAATGTGCAAGTGACTTGTTTATTTTTGTAAATAATTAAAATAACTTTTAAAAATTTTTAAAAATTCAAATTAGCCTTGCAAAAAAATTTTTTTCGGGGGCGTGGCTGACGCCACGCCCCCTTTTTCCAGATTTTAGGGGTCGGGGACCCGCAAAAATTTTGGGAAGCACCCCCAAAATTTTTTCGAAGTGCGTGGCTAACGCCACGCACCTTCTTTAGAAAAAAATTTTTGTCGCGCCCCCCCCCCCCCCCCGAACCGAAATCCTGGGTACGCCACTGCAACTTATAACTTATAATAACGAGCTAAGGGTCTTTACATGTTTTTGTGTGCATCTGTCCTTTACAATTCGTACAATGTGTTCCAACCAACGTTCTGAGCCAAAATTTGTATAACGCATGCTACCAGCATGAATGTTCATTATGCAAAAGCACGAGAGACTTAGTTAATTGGTTCCCTTAAGAATTGAGGGTCAAACGAATCCACGTGGTTTCTGGCCATCAGGCTTGGGTCGGTAATACTTTACGCAAATTATTGGATATATTCGACAAGTTAAAATGCAAGCCATGGACTGTAGTCCAATAGCCAAAAATCGTTGCTTTACGAAAACGGCGCCAAATAGCATTCGTTGCGTAAACGGTCAATTTGCCAAGATTACCTGGGCGGTTGAAAAAATTACTGTCTTTAAGACGACTACCAAACCATATAAAGTCCAAAACAGATTCAAATTTGCATTTGTTCTCTAGCGAAAAATTTCATGCATGAAATTACCGATCCGATTAAGAAAGCTCTGGAATGAGTAAATGCTTGCAATTCATTCGGGATAGCATTGCGCGGTGATTTTCTTTGCCATCACTATGCGAGAATGAGGAACGCATATGGAGAAAAAATGCGAGTCTTTGCGACGCAGAGGTGAACTGATCAAAAACAACTAGCTGAAATGCCCAACTTCGCTTGGTCGTTATCAACATAATATAGTAGAACTCACTTTTTTGTCCCACTTCATCAAAACGTTTTTCCTGTTCCTCTCCAACATCTGTATGCCAGCCTCCTCCTCCGCCCACCCCCCCCCCCCACTCATCAGGTTTTCGTAAGCAGCATACACCCTTACTCCACTTCTCCGTATCAACTCCCAATCACCTAACTCAGAGTTTGCAAAAATTCGATGAAAGACATGAGTGGTAGGCATACACAGAATACTAGGCTGTAGCAAAAAGTAATGTCCGTTTTTCAGGCCTATTTTGCAAGCAACTTTCTTCCTTCAGAATTTCTTTTTCAATATAGATTCTGTAAATCATTGAAAAGCATTCATCACGTAACCTCAATTCATTTGTAACTTAATATGTGAGAATGCACATCAAGCCCTATTAACGACGGCACCCATACTAGTAACTTTGCCGTGAATCATTTTCTAGCCTAACAAAGTGTAGAAATGTGTTCTATTGAATAATATATAACTAACAAAAAAAAAGAGACAAGGAAACAAGAAGAAATTACTGAAAATGAGCAGGTACTAGTTTTGTCGTTCCTCACTTAACGTGTAAAGTATGCATCACTCAGATTAAGTTACGAATGACTCACGATACTCTCTAACAATGGTGAAATTAAGCTTCTATCTCATCTGTGAGAATTTCACCAGTATCTCGCACAGCTGAACTCATAATCGAAATTTTGTTGCTTTAACTTCCTTGGCCACACTTCAGGCGCAAATGAACGAATTTTATTGAAAATATAACTACTGTATGGGATGAATATTGTATACTTGCCGCATGTTTGAATAAACTTTCCGATATATCTGTACTGAGAAATTGAGGCCTCAAAATAGATTCTCACTGTATGGCGCTCTACGGGTTAAAGATTTTCATTAAGGCGATAACCGAAGCTTCGCTCATTTCTGTATGCTTGAGGTCAGGATATCTTGCAAAATCTTAAATTTTTGCAGAAAAACTTAGCTATTCAGTGTATGAAGAATCCCAAATTTTTATAGCTTGGGACCTTCTGGCCTACCACAAAATTGGGCTCAAAAAAGTGAACAATTTTGGATTGCTATCTTTTCCTTCCGGGAGTCTCCTTCGTTGAAATTTTCTCTATACGAACGTATACTGCTGGCTTGCGTCAACGAAATAAGCCGATTGCATAAACAAAACTTGAAGGGAGAGTTGCATTTCTCAGAAACAAGGTTTTCAAAAGAAAAACTATTTCTTGATGCATGATTTTCTTCCCTTTTGCGATATCAGTGTATGCAGGTGCGCGTTAAGTTACGAAAGGTTTACTGCCTCTGATGGTCTTAATTGCATTCAAGGAGTGAAGGCTGGACAAAGTTATAGCCTTTCCAAGTAAGACTTTGCAAAACGGACATTGTTTCTGCAACAACCTAATATTAGGTTGATGCATAATTCCTGCACCAAAATAGGTACAGACCGCAATAACTCGAAGTAATCCTATATCCCAAGTAGGATTCGATATATCATTTGATAGCGCAAACCTAGCTCTACAACATGGTGCTCAAATATCAACACCAGCTTTGATCCACGCGAAGTTTTGAGCCAAAAACTGAAAAAAAACCATGCGTCCGAAAACCTTAAGACAGATCTTAAAAAAATTGTAACTTCGTTCAAAAAGCTCATACAAATTTTCTTTCTTGCTCACGCGTAGACGTTCCACGTAAGACATTTATCTATACGGTTGCTGTATTTTTTTCTCAACTAGCCGATGAGAAAACGAAGTTTTTCATGTTTTTTCCAAAACAATGCTGAGATGTTCTAGCACTGACAGTTGTATACTATAGGATCTTAGAAGCGTGAATGTGAATTTTCAGCTCTTTAGAGCAGCTGGTTTACGAGAAATATCGGATTTTTAGCAACTAGGCAAGAAAAATTTGGATAAGGAGAGCTAGATTCGTTATTTCTCGCGAATTAGCAGTTCTAGAAGGCTGAAAATGTAAAGTTTCACTGCTAATGGCATGTACTATACAACTGTTGATACTAGAACATCTCAGCACTAATTTGGCAAAAACATGAAAAACTTCAAAAAACTTCGTTTTTTCATCGCCTAGTTGAGAAAAAAATACAGCAACCGCATAGATAAATGTCTTACGTGGAACGTCTACGCGTGAGCAAGAAAGAAAATTTGTATGAGCTTTTTGAACGAAGTTACAATTTTTTTAAGATCTGTCTTAAGGTTTTCGGACGCATGGTTTTTTTCAGTTTTTGGCTCAAAACTTCGCGTGGATCAAAGCTGGTGTTGATATTTGAGCACCATGTTGTAGAGCTTGGTTTGCGCTATCAAATTATATATCGAATCCTACTTGGAATATAGGATTACTTCGAGTTATTGCGGTCTGTACCTATTTTGGTGCAGGAATTATGCATCAACCTAATAGTTTCTTCGTAATCAGCATGCTTACCCTTCGCGCCAATTCGCACCGCCGCGCGGCATGAAGTTCGCAAGCAACTGTTAGAACTAATATCGATTGATATGAAAAGTATATGTAATACGCGACCACATCCTTGTTGGTGCTGTCTTCGCAAAAAAACTTCTAAGCACTTTTCGGGCAATTCATTGCTT